TCCAAGGTATACAATTTGTATCTACTCCAAATCTGTCACTAATAGTAAATCTTTTATCCAAATTCGTTAATTATCCGTTTATAACTATCCAAATATGACATAAAACGGCTCAAATAATGATGGATATCCATTTATTTACTATTTATCACCATCCTTAGACAATAACATAAACTATTTGTTTTTTCGTACTTAATTACGATCTTAATTAGGGTAGGCATATTTTAAATATCATATGTGTTAAGGTCAGTGGCAGTTAATAGCTATTGGTTTAAGCATATTTTAGATATAAAATGTTGGTAATTCAATGAATTTCAAATTTATTGAAAATGATCTCATATTGAAACATTAAAAATTTTGTGTTGTATGAACACATGAATATGAAAATTTGTTAATAATATGTTACTAATTTGTAAGTGGTTTATTAAAATGATATCATGTAAGTTCAAGAATATTAGTAGTTATCACATTGGCATGAGGGCAAACAATGCATAATTTTGTTATGACCCCATTTATTGTTGAGCTCCTTATTTATTATTCAAAGTTTAATTAAAGCATGTTAGTAATTCATTGGATCAGTGGGAGTCAGTAAGATTTGATAAAATGATAACATATTTTCTCTATGTGAGGAATATCATATTGCCAATTCATAATATGGAATATCTGTAGATATAGAAAATAGAACCTGTTAAATGATTAGGTTGATTATGTTAATACACATTGTAAATTTTTTTTTTTCTGAAACCATCATTGTTTTAGGTTTATTTATTTTGTTAAATGCATCACATGTGATTGCTAGTTACATATAAGATATAATTTGAGATTAATAAGTCCAAAAATTACCATCAAGTTAAGTGGACATAATTGTTTTATATTTTCATCATTGTTGTTATTTGTATATATGCTTATTATTACATGTATACATCTCATATTGACATGTCATGTTATAAAATCTTAAAACTTGATATCTATCTTAAGTACAATATTAAACTTATTTGGGTATGTCTCATAAATGATACTAATAAATAACCTCAAAGATAATGAGGATACATATAGGTACATATGGATGCCATGAAAATTTCTTAGCAAGTTTAGAGAAATCTGCAAAAGGACAGATAATGAAATAACATATTGATATCATATTTAGGTATTATTTTCTTATTACACAACCACACTGAGATTCATTGTTGATAGAGTCTTTGATACTTGTAGCCATAGATTGATCTTATATCAATAAGGGGCATAATGACTGTCATGATTCGGTATTAAATAGTTTTATTGGACATGATCATCTAAGATGTTATCTCAATGGTTAATTGTTTTTTTAAAAACTGTGGCCATATCAAAGTAAAGTTAATAAGTTTGGAGTTTTGTTTTTTAAATTATTATATATTTGTAAAATCAAATATTGTCAAAGTGGAACAATATTAGAATTTTTCAATAAGTGGGCTATTATTAATTGGTGATTTTATAGTTTAATAAAATAGGTTGATAAGTGTAGTTTTAATACAAAACAAACATGATAACTTAAATAATTAATTGTGATCACTTATGTATGGGCTTTGCACATCTTATTGGGTGAATATGGTTTGACGGTTGTATAGGCCTTTTGATCTGGTAAATCTTTGATAGGGATATTTTTAGGATTTTAATAGAAATTGACTAAGATCTCATCTTCACTTCTTAGTAACGGAATCTACCTATTGAAAGCCACCAATAAGAGAAAAAAAAAAAAAAAAAAGATCTAGTTTCTTCAAAAAACTATAGTTGCTTTCACTTTTAATTATGTAAGTTCAAACAAATTTATAATATAATAAAATTTGATGTTTTAATATTCACATATAATTATTGAGATTTAAAATTATGCTTACAGTTAATGCTGAATAGTTAATGCTGAATGCTGATGAAACCATTATCAGAATAAAAAAAAATTTTACAGCTATAGGAATATCCTTTTTGCCTCCATCAATAAATGGTTTTAGACAGCAGGGGAGGGAATAGGGATTGTGAGACTGATGCAACTACTAGTAGTGTTTATAAGGGACTTCTATAAATAGTTAGAATTGCAGAAGCAGACCATAAATAAAATGCGGGGAAAGTAGTTAGAGAAGGCTTCCCTGCCTCACCCCGTATCAAGAGCTGATGTTGGATTAGCAAACAAAATACACTTGTTAGATTTGGATGTTTGCCTTGGAAATGATTAGTATCCAGTGAGAGTAGGCATCGCTCATCAGCGGGCATTACCAAACAAAAACAGGCTCCCCACTTAGGAAATCATGGAGTGATTTTATTATTAAAGTAATCTTATTACTCATAATTAAAAATTATTATATTTAATATTATTAAAAATCAGATATTATTTTGTTTAAAAGTATCAAAATAAACATGCACATTAAAATAGCTATATAAGTTAATGATTTTAACATTATTTAAATATAATAATTTGTATATAAAATATTAGTAATATTTTATTTATTTCATAATAAATATTATTAAATTATTAAATTAAAAATATATTTATTGATAATAAGCTAGTTTTTCTAGTGTAAATTATGTAAAAAAATATTTGAATTAAAAAATACAACTAATATATTAAAATTAAAATATTATATTATGAATAAATTTTTAAAAATTAAAAAACTTACATAAAAGAATTTTGAATTTGTTACAATAAATATTAGTTTGAAAATGTAAATATTATAATATAAAATAATAAAAATTAATTTTAAAAAGGAGTAATTTTTTAATTTACATATTAAATGGATATTATTGATTATCATTAATTTTATATGCTGTTTATCTCTATGATAAAAATTTTTCATGTTTTTAAATTAGAATTAAATTATCTTTTCAAAATAATAATCTAATCACTCTTGATGATTCGAAATCAATGCCATATAAAATTACTAAATTGTTACTAAATATGATGATTTAATTACTATACATAGATCAATATAAATTTTTTAAATGATCATCTCATACTAAACACTACTGTTTTTTTTTTTGTCAACTAGTGTATATCGCCTTCTTTGCTCAAATATCTTGCCTTAATGGGCTTGCTAATATTTGCATAAGCTAAGAAAAACAAAAAGTAGGCCGTAGGCAATGTCATGCAAAGCAGAGTTGGGCTTTAACGTGTTATCTAGACCTACCATTTAGCGGGTCGCACTGGATTTCGTTAGAAACTCATTTAGTTTGATTCATTTTAGATCTAAAAAAATATTTTTGAATTAATTTTGGATTAAATCATTTTAATTTTGAATTATTTGGACTCAAATATTTTTTGTTCTGGATATTTTAAATTTGGACCATTTCTGATTTGAATTAATTTCATTTGGGTCATTTTAGTTTAAATATTTTTAGTTTGACATCCGAATTATTCAGTTTGAGTCATTTCAAATTTAATTTATTAATTTTTAAAATCACATTAGATTAATTATTTGATTGAATTCGAATTAAATTTTATTATAATTTTATTGAAAGATAAAAAATAAATATAATATTTTAAAAATAGTTATAAATATTGTAATTTGTATGTTTTAAATTAAAATTAACTTTTATAGAAAAGAAACATAAATGTTATTTTATTAAATATGACAAATTTAAACACAATACAATGAAATAACATCAAAATAATACCAAAAAAAGCCATGTGTGATTTAAAAAATGTGTTCCACGTTTAGCTATATAAACACAAATTTTGATATACGTCAAACACAAAAAATACTTTTATTTAACCATATCATATGAGTGTCCGTATTAGATATGGAAAGCACGTTTGTCACATTTGACACACTTAATAATTTTTTTTTATTTTAATTTAATAGAAATAATAAACATATTTTAAACTTTTGATTATAGTACACAATTACATATTTAATATAATCATATAAAAATATTCTAAATATTTATTTATGATGCACATTTAATATGTAATTATTTTTATTTTAATAATATAACTATAGTATAAATAATCATTTTAATATAACTATATCTAATTATTTATAATTATACCACATTATTTAATAGTTTATTATTTTGGATTTTAATATAATTATAGCTCATTATATAATTTATTATAAATTATATGATTAAAAATTAAACATATATACACAAATCAATGGCTTGTTTTATATATTTTATTCTGAATTATATGATAATTAATATATATATGTATATAAGATGTTATATAATTTATTTCAAAATGATACATTGATATGTATACCCATTATAATTAAAAATATATAATTTATTTCAAATCATGTTATAAATTATAAAAAAGTTTATAAGTAATATAACATATAGACATAAATTATACTACTTTGGTATTAAAAATATATATTATTTTGATATTTTTAATAAATTTAATAAGTTTTTATTTCCATTATATATTTATTATTTTTATATGCATTAATCATTTTCAATTTAGATCATTTTAACTTTGAGTTAATTTAGATTCAGGTTGATTTTAATTCTGAGTTAAGTGGATTTGAATTATTAACTTATTATAATTTAATCGAATTGGATCGGTTTCAAATTAATTAAACAAAAATTTCATATTGAAGCCAAAATTGACAGTTCTAGCTGAATCTAATTGGCACTTTTTATGATTTTCGTTGAATTTTAAACACAACGTTCTTATGCCACAAAATAAAATTTGAATTGTTCGCTCAGTTTATTTTTAAAGGTGAATTTTAATATTTTTAAAATTTAAATCACAATGTTTATAATCTTTTCCCGTCTCTCACGTTGTAGATAAAAAAAAATTACAAATCTTGGAATGTTTACAATTTACGGACAACGAAACGGCACCGTGTGCGTTGAAGATGGAAAACTAACTCGAACTCGGAGAGATTGTCGATATCTTTTTCGAAAAGTTAACACACATAGGGACATACAAACAAAACTCGCTGACTCAATCTCCAACTCCAAATTCCGACCTCTGGGTCTCAATTATTATATATATATATATATATATATTTTTTTTTTTTTATTTGTGCGTTTGCTTTAAGTTTAGAAATCGTTGAAAAGCACCTTTACTTTTTTGCCGCATTATCTGACCATATGAGTCGAAAGAGAGACAAACCCTACTTCTCCCGCCACGCCCCCGCTTCCATCTCTAAACGGCGCCGTGCTCTGCAACCTCAACCCCCGCCGCCAACTGAAGATGAGGACAAGCCAGCAGCCAAGCAAACGCCGCCACCCGCTGTGGTCGTCATGGGTCTTCCTCCAAATTGTTCGGTGCTCGATTTGAAGTCGAGATTTGAGATCTATGGCTCAATCTCCCGCATCCGCATCAACAGTGATGCTATCGGCTACATAGCATATCGCTCCAAAGAATCCGCCGAGTCTGCCATCGTTGCTTCGCTTGATTCCTCCTTCGGCATTACTGTTGATTCCAAAAAGGTAATCTTTTTCTTTCTAAATTTATGCTTGTTGTAATTTCTTAATTTCTTGTTTGGTTACATATAAACTGTGAGAAAGTAGAAAGAGAAAAAGAGAAGAAAGAAATTTTCTAGCTGTTTTGGTAATTGAAGTGATGTTTCATTTGAAGTCTAATTTGGCTAAATTAAACTAAATTGGATAGCTTTAAGGTTGCATTAAATTGAATCATTACTTTTTAATAAGGCCTTTAATGAGGAACTGAAGTCAAAGTTTAGAGCTTTATTTTGTTGCTCAACATGAAGAGGTTCCAAGTTCTGAATTGTGACTTTGCTTGCAGGTTCAACTATTGTGGGCAACCGATCCTTTAGCTCAATGGACAGATGGGGTAGGGGTTGGTGCTATTAAGGATAATGGGTCATTGTCGTCATCTAAGCTTTTGCGGCCTGAGGTGCCTTTGAGCAGGTATGGAAGAGGTAATAAGCTTGCATCTGCTATAGTCAACCCAAGAAGAGCTGGTGATGGTTCTTCAATGTTACGAATGCCTATTAAAGGTAGAGAAATTGTTGCCTATGATGATATTCTGTAATGCAGGACTATGGGTATCTGTTCTCTTTGTAACGGTAGTGCAAGTTTGATCTTAGCTTTCGTTTTGCGGTTTTTTTTTTTTCACTCTAATTTCTAGAATCGAATATTAATGTCTGTATGGTGTAAATGGTTTGTGTCTTGGAGTTGGAAAAATGAACGGAAGGAATGGTGTGGTTTTGGTTTATGGTTTCTAATGATGTTTGTATAGTGCCAATGAATGCAGTTTCTAATGGTGTGGTTCTTGGTTAAGTAGTTGATATGTTTTAAAAGATTCTAGTGTTACCGTGATATGAATGATCTTCTCTGCATCCAAATTCAAATGAAACTTCATTTTACTTGAATGAAGTTCTCAATATTGATGAGCTTTGTAGATGGAGATTGGCAGTTCATTAGGTTATTCGAATGGTTCCATTCATCCGTTGCTTTACTCTTTTATGTTGCTTCAGCATTCGGCAACATAGCAAAAGCGTAAATAATGCGAGAAGTGATTTCTTTCTTAGATTAAGATTTGACAACTGGTTCAAACTATGATACTTAATGGAAGGTCCAACTTCTAGTCTGACAACTTAGAAATATTCACGGTTTCAGATTTGACTTGGGTCCAAACCCCAATAGCTCTTTGTACATCCTCTGGTAAGCTCAAAGGGTTGTCTGCTTTTGTTTGAGAGCTTCAAAATGTTTAGATAGCCGATTCCGGCCATTAGTATTATTTGTTTCTTCAAGTTTGCAAACAGTTTTGCGCAACTAATCACTTATAATTAATCACTTCATGTATTGAATTTTCCTGCAGCTGCCTAACTTGCTTTGCAAAATGCTTTCCTCTTTTCTCTTTTTATTGAACTCCTTTTGATGGTCCCTTTCAGATTGGTACTGGAAGTATGCAGCGATGGCTATACCAAGCAAATGTAGTTATTTCGACGTACTAATCTGCTGTCTTATCATGTTCTAGTCTTGCTTGACGGATGAATTCAATGCTTTTCAAATGTATAATGCGTAAACTTAGTTCAGTTTTCACCACGATCTTTTTTGCATTGGTTGCGTAAAAAGACGTCTCAGGATTCTTAAATTTCTGAAAAAAAAAAGGTGATTTTTGAGGAAAGTGATATTTAATGAGAATGGGTGATTTTGTATTTTGTTGATAATAGGTGTTCGGGTATTTTATGTAAACTTGATAATCTAAAATACGATATAATAATATGACATAAAAATAATACGAATAAAGAACATGAAAATAATACGGTTTAATATCTTAACAAAAATTATAAATAAATTTAACAAAATAAAAATTTTTTTTTTACATTTTCGTGTTGATACGAATTGTGATATATAATTTTTGTATAAAAATATATCATAAATATAATATTTTACATAACACAATAACACGAATTGTTAGTTTTAATTTTATGATCATAAAGACATTATGGATTTTTCTTAGAAGGTGATTTATTAATAAAGGATAATTTCATCATTTCAACTCGAATTGACATATCAAGTTGACCTTAAGTTTCGAGATTTACGTTAGCTCGATTACCTCAACTTCTCACCTAAAGGTGTATGAGAATACTAACTTATCATCCCTAATTGAACTATAATTTGTCATATCAAGTTGGGTTGGCATTGTCAACCCTAGACTCGTTACTTGGAGCTCAAGTCACCCAAACCTGCCACTCTCACCCTATAGGTATAAAGCACCCTCGTACCATGTATATTCATTTAATTTTCTTCTTTGTTTTTTAAGATTTTTTTTCTTTTTTCTTTTCTTGAATATTAACTTGAGTGTTGGAGCATAAATACTGAAGAAACCTCCAATCTTTGCTTCTAATCGACCTTCAAACTTGTGATAAGTTTTTTGTCTCGTTAAGATAGCTTGGCCCAAACAATAAAGAATGTAAGATTTTTTTATTTGGTTCACAAAAGATAAGATTATCTAACTGATTTTTTTACTATATTATCTTTAATGACATATGAATAACACATGATATTTATAAAAATTATTTATTTATATTTTCATAATATATTTATTTAACACAAGGATAACTAATTTATTTAATATTTTATGATATATTTATTTATTTAACTTGTAAGTGTTTTAATTAAATTAATTTATATATTTATAGAACATATAAATTACTTAGTACATTGTGTATAAAAACATATAAATTTTATAATTTATTAATACATTTTATACCTTATGTATTTAATATATATACATAATGTTATAAAATAGTTTAATACATTAATTTAATAGATTAAGTATGCAAAATACCGAATTTCCTAATACAGAATTTTATAATAGACGACGTTTGTTCAACATTTTCTATTTGAATATAAACGACGGCTTCCTCTATTTGTATATAAACGACATTTATAAAATCAGACGTCATCTACATAGCATCAAGTTTAACTGATTTATTTAATATTTTCACAATATATTTATTTAACATGCAAGTGATTAATTTAAATTAATTTATATAATCTGTTATGTTATTTACGTATAAATTATTTATAATAATTTAACATATAATTTTATATTTTATATTTTACGTTTATAAAAAAAAATCATGCTCGAGATAGCTTAGAAGTTTCAAACTTAAAAAATGTCTTGGAAGCAGCATGGGCCAATTTCTTGCTTACAGACTGGTGGGGGCATCGACGTTGAAAGGTTTAAGGAATCACATGGGAGGCCCTAAACAAATAGACGATGTCATAATGTTCAGGTTAAGAGAACATATTCATTAGGTATAAAATATATGGAGTCATTATTAATTATTTTTATTTAGATGTGATAAATTATTTATATAAATTTATTAATTTTTAAGTTATTTTAAGTATAAACTAAAGGTCTCTAAAAAAAATAAATTTTAATATATATTAATAAAATTAAGATTTGAGAGTAAATTACATACAAAAAAAATATTAATACCTCTTTACACTCAAAATTAGTATCAAATTAATTATATACTATTTTGCCTAAGCCTTAATCAAAGATAGTTTTTTATCATACAAATTAATTAATTTTAATCCTTTTATTTATTTACAAAATATGATGATACAAAAATTTTATCAAAATATCAAGTAATCATGTAATTATGCAATAAATTATGTAATAATATAAAATTATATCATGCAATAAATAAAATTATATTATGTAATAAATCATGCAATAATATAAAATCATACCTTACAATAAATCATGCAATAATGTAAAATCATACCATACAAAAATTATTATGCAATAATATAATAACTATAAAAATCATTCATACAAATATATATAATCATGCAATCAAATATAATCACAAAAATAAATATATTAATAATCATACAATAAAATATAATCATATAAATAAATATATTAATAATCAATATTTAAATATATTAATAATAATGTAAATATATATTAATAATCATATAATTAAATTAATAATTATGTAAATAAATATATTAACAACATACAAACACATAAATATATTAAATAATCATGTAAATAAATATATTAATAATCATGTAATTAAATTAATAAATATGTAATTAAATAAATCATGCAAAATTAATCATGCAAATATATATAAGAAATTAATACGAAAGTTTTTTTTCTCATCTCAATTACCTTCGAGTAACAAAAAAAAAAAGGCGAGAAAATAAAATAACACAATAAAAAGATAAAAACAAAAAAAAAATCAAATCTACACCCAAAATAACAAGTTGGGTTGGCTCTTTCTCGGGCACCTGTGCGGGTCCTAAAGCGGGTCTAAAAGGATTGGTTCCTTCAATTTTCAAAACGGTACCGTTTGCAAGATCTCCTTCCAAGCTAAAAAAATCTTCTCTTCCTCGCTCTCGACGCACACCTGTGCGTTCTTTTCAAAATTGAAGAACACCAAAAAATTTCAACCAAGAGACAGCGAAACATAGCCTAGATTTAAACAGCTTGCGACCGTCGCCAGTGATTACCGTCGGTCTCACTAGCACCTTGGGTCACTATCATCTACTTCCGCCGCGTCTGTTTAAAGACCCCAGAGGAATAAAAAAACTCCAAAGACTCAGACCAAAACCTTAAAAAAAAAAAAATCCTTTTGCAGTCGAAACTTTATATTGCACTTTCTTCCCCTTTATTTCTTCTGTTATTGCCTATATGTCTGGTAATTGGTTGCTTGTGGAGTTCTCTGTTTGACTTTGGGTTTTTGTTGCCAATGGGTTCTATGTTTGAGGCTTTGTGTGCTGGCTTTCGGGTGTGGGTAATTGGTTGAATGTTTGCAGGATTGTGTTTATTGCTGGGAATTGGATTCAAATTGTGCTTCTGAGTTGATTGTGGGAAGAATTTGTGTGGCTTTCTTGTTGATTGTGTCCATTGTAAGCCTTTGTGTCTCTCGGTTGGATGAATTGGGGTTCTTGCTTTCACTTACCGTCTCAATTGCTCTCAAATTGTGCTGATTGCTTCTAGAAATCAAGTTGGATTATGTTTGTATTTTTTCTGCCAAGACCGTCAGCTGCTGTGTGATTTCTCTTCTGTTGCTTCCTCTGTTGGGAATTACTGTATTTCGATTTTTGGCTTCCCCTACTGTGTTCCGTTTGCTTTCTCTGATGAATGATCTTGCTTCCTTGGCTGTGATTTTGCAGAAAAATGTTCGCTTTCTTTGATTTTGGTCTGAATGCTTACCTGCTTTGTTAATCGCACCAAGATTGCTTGATTCAAAGACTTTGCTCGAAAATGCCTCTGTACGATTGAGAATTTCTGTTGTTTGCTCCCTGTTCACAGATCGAGAGCATTTTTTTATAGGAAAAAAATCCCAATTCAATTGGGAAAACTTTTAGTTCTCACTGAATCTCCAAGATTTCCAAGATTTTATTTTTCTGGATTTTCTCCTTCTTTCCACAGATTGGGGCTTAAATATTTCCTTGGGCAATTCATCAATAAATTCGAGAATCTAAATCCAAATCCAAGATCAAACCTATCAATTTCCTCTTGCAACGTTTCCTTTTTCATGGGTTTTCTTATTATTATTTTTTTTAACCTTTGACAGTAACCAAACTAAAACTAAAAATAAAATCAAAATTATAATTAAAATCAAAATTAAAATCATATTAAAAATTTTTTATTTTTAATCTTTGGATTCAAATTTTACTTTTTATATTAGGATTCAATTGTACAGTTGAAGCTTTATTTAATTTCGAACAAATTTATAAACAAAATGAGATATTTACAAATAACATTTA